TAAATAACACATACTAACAACCTAAGATAACTGAACTATTCTTAGACCTGATTTTATTTAATAAAAGCCTGGAAAATGTTTCCCATTCGAACCCACCTAACATTATATCCCCTATCTATAATTGAACAAATTTTCCTCTGCTTTCTTCAGGTTTTCTTTTTGTAGATACCATCTCTAACATCAACTATTGACATTATGGCCCACCGCTTGTCCAGCAAGTTGTGCCAACTCAGCAGAAATATTTACTGTGGCTTACCGAGAAATAAGTACCTGCCATAAAGCCAAAAGATACTTAACCTGAGCTGTTCTTTATCCACAATTTCGCAGCAAAACAGGAAACAGCAAAAGCTGACTAGTAAAGCTACTCTTTGATGGCCCAGAACTTGGCCGAATTTCCATTTAATTAGCGTTCACGTTTGTCAGGATAAATCAGGGTAAGGCAAACCGATGGAGATGCTGTGAGAGCAAACCGAAGTCTATTAAGCAGGGCAAAGCCAAAATGGCAACAGAGCGCTGCGATTTAATGCCAATAAACCGCGTAAGGCACATCTCAAGTACTTCTGTAACAGAGCTAACCAGCCTGAACCCGGAACCCAAACCCGGAACCGGACCCCATTTATCCCCAGTCTCAATCTGAAAGCCCCAGGACTTTCAACAATGCCCCAAGGGGCCAGGGGACACGTGGGGAGAAGAAACGAGTAATCTACCAACTGAATGTGCAACATGCCAATGCACATGATGTGTTTAATGGTTAAATTGTTGCTAATTCCATTAGCCGTTTGCTGGCCTGCATTTTACCCCTCCTCTGTGGGAATGCACAGGGAGAAAATAATTAACTCTTTGGCTCAAAAGTAATTAAATTCAAATTAAAATTAATTACCAAGAAAAACACTTCCAAGAAATGTTAAAGAAAATTCTCCTATACAACTTATAAATTCTTCTCTATACTTTCGATCGATGTGCGCTTTTCTCTCTGTGTATTGTGTGTATGTGTGTGAGGATCTGTTTGCAACGTTGTGTGGGTGTCCATGTAGGTGTGTTTGTTGTTGTATTTGTGGCCAAAGTGTTGCAATGCCGGCAGCATCCAACGAACCAAAAAGAAGGCCAGACCAGATCCGAAAGACGACCCGCTGGCAAATGGAACGTGCACAAATTAATGTTAGGTTGACGCAATGTTGGCAAGGCTCGAGTACCGTGACCTGTCCCCTTCCCCCACCTCTTCCCCCTGTGGAAGCTTCCCCCAGCTTTCCCTGCTTATCCACACCATCATCCCATATACAGTACAACCTCTCTCACTCCCGCTTCAAATTTGGCACATTGTTTGCCACCAGAGTGTGCAGATTTGTCAAACGTGTTTCGGGGGGTGTTGTGTGTGCTGGGCACCGGAGCTGATTGGAAATGCCATAGATTTCGAGCCACTCACACAACGACCAGAGGCAAGCCTTTTACCACGGGACACACCATTTACGGCCGGAAGAAATTAGCCTACTAAAGTTTCCATCAAACATCCCCAAAGTTGCAATTCAATGGGTGAAGCCTAAGGGCAAAGCATTTCTGGGTTCTTTGCTCATTAAGAAGATTTTAAAGTCACAAAGTTCGGGAAATGTAGAACATTTTGAAAATTTGATAATATTATTGTTGTATTTTTGACATATTTCATTTTTTAATAATGCGAATTTTTATAATAAACTTAGTTTTTATGATAATTTCTAATCCAAATCTAAGTTTTTTAATGTTATAACTTGGCCAAAAAATCACTAATTTCAGATCGGATAGATTTTCTATGCTTGTTTTTGTTCTGTTAAAAAATCTGCATATTGAGCTTACAAATTTTAAAAATTACATTTTTTTGTACAACTTTTCGAACAAATTTGAAAATTTTTTTCAATTTTTTTTCCTTTGGACTAAGCTAGAACGGCTCAGCTGTTGATGCTGATCAGGAATATATATGCTTTATAGGGTCGGAAATAGCTCCTTCAGCGTGTTACAAGCTTCTAACTAAAATTATGCAACTTTTTCAAGGGTATAGAGAGCTGGTTTCACTTTCTATCATTAAATAAAGAATACCCTACACTTATGGAAAAATTTAAACAAGGCCTTGAGCTATAAAACAAAACTCGAAGTTTTCCAATCGCTTCATGCAATATTTTAAGCTCAAATGAGAAATTTAATCAAATAATTTATAGCAGTTAAAAAATTAGATATTACGTATACGCACTGGTGTAAATAGTATTTGATCATAACTCAGCCAAAAAAGCAGTAATTTCAGTTCGGAAAACAGTTCTGTGTTAGTTTTTATTGGGTTAATAAATCGGCATACTCAATTCAAAATGTAAAAAAAATAAATTTTTTCCCCCAAGTTTTTACAATTTTACCAATGTAATCGCTTATAAAATTTTTTAAATTTTGAAAAAATTAAATTTTATCCGGGCATAGTTATATCGATTCGGCTGATGCTGATCAAGAATATATATGCTTTATAGGGTCGGAAATGAGTCCTTCAATGCGTTTTAAGTTTCTGACTGAAAGTTTATACAAATACAACAAATAGGTTTACTAAATAGGATACTAAATACTTAACTGAAATCATTATCCTTAATTAAGGACAAAGCCCTGCCAAAGCAGAACTCTTTTACCCTTCCATAATAACCACTCAAAAGTGTTGATTATTCACACTAAACCTCGACAGTGGTGGAGGCAACCTATAAAATCCGTTTGATGGATTTAAAATTTCTGCATCAAAGATTTTTCGCACTTGGCCCCCTCCGCCACAACGTTGCCCTCTTTCCAACGAAATTAAATGCTTTGCTGGCGAATGAGTTAACCCCAAAAAGCAAAACCCCTAAAACGGCGAGCACATTAAATTTGTTTAGTATGTGCACTAAAGTAAACGCGACAGGGCATCAAGCCGCACAAATGGTTATGGTATCCCAAGTTGGGGATTCCACCTGCCACTCCCAACCAGTTCCCAGTCCGTGGATGTGGCTGCGTCTCTATGCCCTCCGCTTCATTCAGTTAACGCGTCGCAGTGGCGTAGTTGGCACTTTTCTATTTATTTGCCCATTAACGCTCATTTGCGGTTATCAGGTAAATTGGATAAAAGCCAACGTAGCATGAAGCCGGGCAAGCGCCAAGCTCTGCCTGTGCCGGTGCCTGTGCCTCTGCCACTGCCTGTGCCTGCTCCAGTGGAAATCCTGTGGAAAGTCCTATTTTCCCCCAGCCAGCCTGCCCCTGGGCTCACACCCATTTTTACCATTCCGCTTGCTTATCTTCGAGCGTTGTTGCAACATGAAATGAAAGCTTTGCCTTTGGCTTTGACTTTGCCCCAGGCCACACTGTGGAAAAATTGAAAAGGACATACATTTTTTTCCAGGGATTTATTACCAGAGGCAAAGTAAAAAGAAAATGGTGGAAATATTGAACTGTAAATGGAAAAATTAAATTGTACCTTGGAAATTTACAGAAAATGCATTGTCATTATGTTTTCATTGTATTCTGATCACTCAAATATATATTTTATTGTAATTATTATTAGAAGAAATATTTTTACTTTACTGTAGATACTATAAATATAATTTTAGAGCCTCTCGGATAATAATGTTTTAGTGTTTTAATATTTTTATAAAGAAAATATCTTATCAAGCAAGGTAGAGTTCATTTTCTTTCAGTGCAAAAAAAAAAGGAAATGAAAATCTTATAAGTGTCCTCCATCTTACCTTTTCCATTTACTTCGCTTTCGCGCTAACTGCGCCAGTCATTAACATTTTACGACTGTTTGATCCTGGTTTCCCAAATCCACACGCAAATATATCAAATTCAAATTGAATCCAAATATTTGCGGTGTCAGGAAGCAACCGTAATTTTCGCATGCAATCCGCAATTTGTTTAGACTTACACATAAAACGTTCAGTGGCAGCTTATGGGGCCCGCATTAAATTTCATATCCACAAAGGGAATATACTTCATCATTTCCCCTTCGACAGCAACAGAAAAATGGGGAAACTTTATGCATTCGCTGCAAGGCGGGAAAAGAGCGCGCAAAATTTAAATGCGCCATATTGCAAGCTCAAATGAAATTTTGTGGCTTGTTGCTAAAACAAAAAACCGGCCAAATAAAAAGCATGTAAATAAAGGCAAAAAAAATAAAGTAAAATATAAAAAAATTGAAAGCTATGACCAGCGCCTGCAACACAATACTCATGCACACGCGGTGGCATTGTGGCTGGGGATCGGTGTCGTCCTTTGTCCATCGTCCTCGTCGTCGTCCACAGTTTACGCGGTCGCTCAATATGAAAGTGCATAGAGTAAAGGCTCAGTTATGCACTCAGAAAAATTAGACAAAAGTTTACTTGTAACAAGTTAAACAGATTTTTAATCGCGGGGTTAGTTACTTAAGATAAAACGAATTAAAAAAGAGATGTTTCGATTTACCCACGAAAACTTAATATTAGCTTATTTAAAGTTTGTTTTCTATATATAATTTTATTTATGACTTCAAGAAAATTACAATTTAAAATGGGTATTTAAATATTAACAAACGATATTTCTTCAGATACATATTTAAAATCAAAACAAACACATTAGGAAGAGTAGTTTCCTTACTCAGAGTATAATTTTTTAAACTAAATTCCTGCTTTGTTAACTTCCCAAAATTGTTCCCTGTCTAAATTTTTGGCTATATATATATTTTTTTGAGCTAAAAAGTAGCAAAAAGGGGGAGACGGCTGAAAGGGGGAGTGTCAGTTGGTCTGCGGTCGGTTTGCGCTAAATTAAATTTTGCCGCGGTTGCCCCCAAAAGTCCAACACACTTGCACTATCAAGCTCCACACCAACGCATATTCACACACACACACACACACACAGACACACACACACGTATACAAATTACTATTGCGCCAAAATATAAAAAGGGAAAACCCAACAGCAATCCTTACACAAAAGCAACATCTGCACTCCTGCACTTAGGCAACACAACCAACAAGAATGAGATAGAAAAAAAATAAAAAAAAGAAACCACCGCGTTTTATTTTCGCAATTTTGTATATTTCAGTTCGACATCTCCATTGAGGAATATTCCCATGCCCGTGTCGGCACCCATGGGCACTTTTTTCGTCTGCTCCACCTGGTAATTCGAAAGGATATGCAGAATGGCGGTCTTAACACTTAACTGTCCAACACGCATACCTGGCAGAGAAGGATATTACAGGAAATATACATTATATTCTAATAGCTAACTATGATACTTAAAAATTACATTTTTAAATGACGCAATAGAAGCTGAGTATCTCTAGTTAAAATTAAAAAATAAAACTTACCTAAACAAATGCGAGGACCATCACCGAATGGCAGGAAGCATCCGCGCTTATTAAAGGCACTTGCAGCTCCATTCTCAAAACGATCTGGTTTAAATTCACTGGCCTCTGGATAGTAATTCTCATCATGGTGGTACTGAAAAGCGGGCACCATTACCGTAGTTCCTGGCTCCAAGTCCACATGTTTGCCCTTGCCCAAATCAAGCTGAATTGGCTTGGTGCAGATACGTATAAAGAAACCAATTGGCGTAGTTAAACGCAGTGATTCTGAAAGAATACAAGAATATTTAATGAAATATACTATCTAAATATTAGTGCAATAAATTTTTAAACTAGACCCATAAACACTTACCATTAACGCACTGATCCAGATAGGGCAGGGCATTAATTTGCTCGTAGCTGATATTCGCATTGTTTGCCAAGGCATCTAAAATTTCCGATCGCAACTTTTCCTGCTCTTCGGGGTGTTCGCTCAGCTGATAAGAATTATTTGTGTTCAATTTATTATTTTGAACAATTGTGAAATTATCTTACCGTATAGAGCATGTGGTAGAGCACAGCGCCAGAGGTCTCATATCCATCCAAATGGACGGTAAGAGCATGACCCACAGAGTCCTGAATGGTATTTCCGCGCTCCTGCAGCTGCAGCAGGTGGGACAGGTAGTCCGTGCGACCCTCTCCAGTGCCGCACTGCCGGAGTTTAATGGCATCCTGGGTCAATTGCCGAAAGAACTCATCCGTTGCCTTGGGAAAGAAGCGCATCTTGAATAGCTTCCTCACAAATGTGGCCACCATGGTCTTATTGAAACGGATCATCGAGCTAAAAGCAAAGACAGTCCAATCCGTGGAGGTCTTCTGGAAAGTCCCAATCTTTCCGACGTCACCGCTGAGCGAGCCCGCATCGATGCCCCATATAAAGTCAGCCATGACGTCGGCCGTGAAGCGATAAGAAAGCTAGAACCGAAATTAATTAGTTTTACCTTAGAAGTATTTAATTTATTATTGTTATACTCACATCCCTGGTCTCGATGACATCGCCCTTCTGCCGCCTTGCACGCTCTATATACTCCACTAGCTTCCGACCGCTCTGCTCCCAGATGGTGAAAGCCAATTTTAGCCGGTTGGGTGTGAGTCCACCGACATTCTCAGTGCGCCTTCGCTTCCAATCCTCGCCAGCACTGAAAAACGGCGATCCTGTCACATACTTATCATCTGCGTTGTGACCCACAAAGCTGCTGGTTATAGTATCCCTGAAGTTACTGAATTTGTCCACCAAAATCTCATGGGCCAGAGCGGGATCGAGGATAAGAAGCTGGGGCTGTCGGGTGATAAATGTGCCCACTGCTCGATGTTTATCCTTGTATTTACTAGGAATCAAAATAAGTTACACTATGTTTCATATTTATTATATATTTAAGACTTACTCGTAGACCTCCTGCACGTCAAGTATGAGACTGCGGCTCTTGTTCACCAGGATGCCCGGATAGGTGCCCAAAAGGGTCAGCGGCTTGGCGGTGAACACTCCCCGCTTGTCCCAGTATCTATGGTACCAGGTCAGATAGAGAAAAACCAAAGCAAAGGCGATGTGAACGAAGCCCAAGACCAAAGCAACTGTAGTCAGCATGGTGGCTACTCCTAAAAGCGATCAGATCTTTACGGTGTCCGAATGGAAACTGCCGGCCAATTTAGCTGATAATTTCCATTGAAGCATAGGAATCAAAATACTATATAGGAACATATATACATCGAAGCACTTCACTGACAAGACCCCTCACAATTTAATCTTTATTTTACACCGGCAGAACCGGTTTTATAAGCTTTTAATTTGTATTCAACACACGATATTGATAACACAATCACCCAAACACTTTGCTGATAACTGATTGTTGGAGAGGTAAGTTAGGTTCTCGGAGAACAACAGGCTCATCTCTGCCTTAACAAGCTTAACATGAAAATAAAAATATATAAAAAAAAAAAAATTATATATACAATATAAATAGAAATTAAACATTATATATGATTTCACAAGTTAATGAAATTATTCAAATAACAAACAAAGTGTGCCTTATCAAAAGACTATCAATTAATTGCGAGTCTTTAAGGTAGCCACAATATAGGTAATATAGGTACTTTTCGTATTTATTATATAAACAACAGTTTAAGAGAGATTGTTAAAAGTCTATCTCTGAAGTCGGCGATATTCCAGATTAACATTTCCCTGCAGCACGATCCCGAAGCCAGCGTCTTCATTGGGAACCAACCGTTCTTTGCCCCTGACCACCTCAAACTCGCTGACAATATTAGCGAGGGCAGATTTTAAAGTCAACAAAGCCAAGCGCATGCCTGAACAAATATACAAATATTTTTCAAACAAATTAGTCCAAATTATTACTAGATATTATTACTAGAAGACTCACCCATGCAAACGCGAGGACCATCACTAAATGGAAGAAAGATACCCTTCCTCATTAACTCCTGATAGGCGCCATTGTCAAACCGTTCGGGTCTGAACACCTCGGGTTCGGGGAAGTATTGTTTGTCGTGATGGAACTGATAGTTGGGTATCATGATCGTCACACCCTCCTCCACATCCAACCTTTTGCCTTCACTTAATTGAATTGTCGTGCGTTGTGTACAGACCTTCGTGTATTGAGGTATCAAACTGCTTAGCCTCAGCGATTCTGTAAAGAGATGTGTATTATTAAAACTGATCACCTTTTTCTATAACTTAGGGAGAGGGATATAGGCTTATTCTTTCTACAAAATTTAACTGACCAACAAATAAATATTAATTACTAACCGTAAACCACTTGCTCCAAATATTGGAGTGAGCACAACTTCTCAAAGTCAAGACTCTTGTCCGTTTCCAAGCCAGCCAGGATTTCCATTCGCAACTTTTGCTGAGCTCCTGGATGTTCAGACAACTGGCAATGCAAAAGAATATTATAATATATCCAAAGGTTAGCACAATAATCCCTCACATAGTAGAGAGCGTGTAGTAGAGCAGCACCACTGGTATCATATCCATCTAGCAGCACAGTCAGGGCATGACCCACCAGTTCGTCGTGAGTGGCCTGCTTTTGATCACGAAGTTGCAACAGATGTGAGAGGTAATCTGTTCGAGTTGCATCCCTACCCCCCTTCAGACGCATCTCAATGGATTCCCTGGTCAGGTTTGAGAAGAACTCGTCCGTTTCCTTCGGATAGAACCGGAAGCGCAACAGGCGGCGAAAGCAAGGCGCCACTATGGAGGCCATAAAAATGGAGATCATGTAGAAGGCGAAACTGGTCCATCGGCTGGCCATCAGCTGCAACTTGTTGGGTTGCTCAGAGGGTCGCGTAAGGGTTCCGGCATCAATGCCCCATATAAAGTCCGCCATTACATGGGCCGTGTAACGAAAGCAGAGCTGCAGAGATAATACATTTATTCGCATTCAACATTAAAATCATAAACTCACATCTCTGGTTTCCAGGATTTGGCCATGGTCCGTCATTTGCCTGTTCATATAGTCCGTTAACATCTTTCCTCCCTGCTCCCAGATGGCATAGCCCTGCTTCAACCGATGCCCGGATATGCCCGCTTGGGCATCCGTTCGGAGTCGCCGCCAAGACTCCCCAGCTGCCCAGAAGGGATTGAGAGGGGTGTACTTATCCCATTTGGCATCCTTAATGTAAGAGCTAGTTAAGGAATCCTTGAAGCAGCGAAAATTTCCGACCAACACTTCGTGCGCCAACTCAGGATCGAGAACCAGGATTTGCGGCTGACGGGTTACGAAGACACCCACAGCTCGATGCGTATCCTTATATTTACTGTGATGGTAATTATTATTATAAGTTAATTTGATTATGTAAGTAAACTCACTCGTAAATCTTCTGCACATCGGTAACCAGGTTGCTCTTCCGGGTCAGCAGGCCGGGATAGGTGCCTAGCACGCTAAGCGGACGAGCTGTGATAAGGCCGCGCCTGCGCCAGTAGTTGTGATGCCAGGTGAGGTACAGGTAGATGCCCAGCGGGATCGAAAGCAGTGTCACCAGAATTAACATTTTCTTGCTCTCCGTGCGTTGACTGTGGACTCCTCTAGCTCTCGGCCAATACTAATCGAAAGTAGGAAAGATGCTGGGGCATCAACGCTTTCACCGCTGATAACGGCAGTTTGCTATTTTTGTTTACCAAAGTCAATATAATATTTTATAAATACACCAGACAGCTAAGCGAACAAATAAATCAGTAATTTCTGGATTCACTTATGCTTGAGGTTATCTATTGGCCTTTCAAGTTCAACTGATAACTTTATGACCGTGCAATCTCTAGAATTTATAAAACAAATATGATTTTAACAATATCAGTGAATAAACCTTCCGCAAACTAAGCGAAAATCAACAAAAAACACTTTTCGATTGTAGTAAAAAAATTCTTTAACCTATATTTTGGTCTTAATATTAAACTTACTCGGCATTGAGCAAGGGTATAATGTAAAACTGTACAAAGATCTCCTCCTGGCCCTCGCCCTGCATCACCAGGTGCAGCTCCAACAAGCCAATCGAGTTCGTCTTGATGGCCACTTTGGTGGCCGCCTGCATTGCTTTGTTGGTTAGGCGTATCTGCTGGCTTTTGTAGCGGGCGACCACCGTCTGCTTGCAGTTAAACATCATCATCATGGGACTAGTCTTGGCCACTTCCACACTGAACACGGCCTGCATGATCCCCACGGTGGTGATCTTAAAGTGCGGCTTATCCGGCGAAGTGACAAACTCGAATTCCTCCGCAGACTTCTCCAGTTCGTGGAATACCTTCGAGAGATTCGGACCACGCACAAAAATAACATTTAGATCTGAACCCTTTAGGTTCATGTCGTAGTCAATGGGCTCCTCGCAGTCCATCGTTTTTATGGCGCACTCGGTGCTCACATCCTCATCGTCGTATGGGTATAGAATAATCTTAAGCGGATCGCCCTGATCCCGGTACATCATCCTCAGACTGCAGTCTGCGGGTCCAAATAGATTCAGGCACTCGGAGAGCACGTTCATCTTTAGGCCGAAGCTCTGGAAGTCCTGGACATAGAACTCCTTGAAGGCACCAGGCGGCATGAAGAGCGTAGCCTGGATAGACTTACCCTGCTCCACGGTGATGCGGAGTCCATCCTCCGATACTTGCAGCATGCCATACTGGGGAATATAGAAAATAATTTGATGAGGATTCCCTTATCATTAAGCATCGGATTTCCTTGTTCTTACATCATTGAAGCATATAGACTTGATGGCCTGGTTGAAGGTCTTGACGTGGTCCAACCTTCCCACGAACTTGTAGTCACCGTAGGGCGATGCCTCCTCCATGTTAATCTCGGAAAATATCGCCACACAGCTGCCTAAACTGTTCCGGCTTAATGTGCTGTTCCGTTCTGGGCTTTAGCAACTGGTGGAACCGCAGGGCCAGAACGTGCGGACAGGTGTAGGACGACCAGCTCTCTTCGCTCCAACCGGCTAGATGCCGCTCCTGGGAACTGGGAATATCGTGGTAGAGGATGCCTCTGGGCAGCTGCAGCACATGGCTCTGGAAGAAGTCGCACTTGCAGTAGTTGATGTCAGGCAGCAGCCGGAAAACCTCTGTTCCCTTGCACAGCTCCACCACGCACCGCTGACGGTTTCCTCCAGTACGGTAGTAAACGAAGGTGTAGCTGTCTAAGAGATGCAGTGCTCGTTCCACCAGCTCTTCACCCAGAAGCCGCGAGAGGTCGTAAAACAACTGTCCCTGTTCTTCCTCTGCATTCAGTTAATTTTACAATTAAACCGGTAATTTGGCGAATAGGAGTATAGAACTCACCTAATGGTTGGCTCCCAGAGAGGCCAAAACGGTGATTTTCAAAGATTTTATCGACCAGTTGTGGAAGAAAGCACTGCGTGATGTTTTCTGACCCTTTGTCCATTCAAACGTGTCGTTTTACTCCATTCGATAAACAAATTTAAGTCAATAACACAAAAACCATAATTCGTGCCGCCAAAACACAGCTGTTCAATTTCCAAAAACAACTTTTATAATACGTTTTAAAAAAGGTGGCATCGCCAATTTCTCGAGTCTGAAGCCACTTAAGTGTGACCATTTGCTAAGAAATTCAAAATCCTTCTTTTTCATAAGGATATAATCACAACTATTATATTATTATATTATTTTAATTAATTTTACTTGATTGTATTGCCTAAATATAATTTTAAAGAAGGATGCTAAGTTTGGCATGCCAAAATTTGTATCTTCTTGGACTTTGCAATTAAAAAGTAATCTATTTTAGTCACAAGCCAAAAAACGAACTTGATGTCTATGTAACATTTTGCGTTTTATTTGCTCGATTTTAATCATTTTTAAAACTTTTGTAAATTTTGTAAAATAACTGATTCTCGGGGTTGATATATTTAATAAAATATAAATTTTCAATATATATACTGAAAAACCACGAGGTAATGCCAATTTTCATTACTTTTATCTGTATTTGTACCAATATTTTATTTACAACTTTATAGTTACAGTATAAAAACTCTTAATACTGATTGTTCCTATAACGCTATATGATATAAACAGATTTGCAATATAATTAAAACCAAAACTCGAATATATATTTAAACATGGACATATCTGTATATGCAAATATGCTGAAAAACAGAAGTTTTTTTCTAATAATTTCCCAATTCTTTCTATGGAAGCTATTTATAGCATATATAGATTATATTATTATATTAAATCTGAAATTCTATAATAAAAAATGTCAATTTCTGGAAGTATATAAAATTATTTTTTAAAACCCCTCGTTCTAAGGGAGGTATATAAGATAGTCGTCCGATCTGAAGCTTTCAGACTTATATAGTTATTAGATTTTAAAAAAGATCCGATTTAAATTATAATATATTATATAAAAGTAAATCGACCTACTGAAACCCGCTTAAACCCAATTAGAAGCGAACAAAACCACAAAACATGTGCGATTTGGTTATGGATTGGTATAGACATCTTCGAGATCTTCAAGAATATGTATTTTACATAATACAGTTGCGATGTAGCGTTAGGTTCCTATATCTATTGGCTATAATCTTCATGAGTTGTTTCGTCTTTGATCTCCGCTACTTTTTGGTGAATCTTAAAAATAAAATTTAATCCTATTGCTTAGTTTTAGAACATGTTCTCCTTTTCGTGTTTGCGACCGGTACTCCGTCGCTTGCCGTTCTGGATCTTCATCATCTTGTTTTCATCGGCACACTTGGTGGTGATGGCGTTCCGCACCTCTTTTCGGTGGCATTGCACTTGTGCGTCACAGCAAAGATAATATCCTGGATCTTAAGGGGATCGAGCATCTGTTTGAGCGGCTTCTGCTGGTCCTTGAAGGCGGGCGACGGCTTGCCCGTCATCGAGTGTGTGCCCAGGGTCTCCCGGTCGAAGATAGAGACCAGCAACTTTCTGGTGGCCAGCGATGAGACTCCCCAGTTGATGTTCTCGAAGATACTGGCTGGTACACAGGTATTGTTTGGGCCAATAGACACCATAACGTTGTCCTTGGGCTGCCCGCCTTTGCTGAGATCGTTGAGGCTGCCGTGCCGGACCTTAGCATGGCCCGGTGATTTAGAGGGCATCTTGTTGCCGCCGTTCTGGCGCAAGACGCTTTCCTCGTGCGGCTCGGACATCTGAATCTCCTGCAGCTTTCGTCGCTTGATGAACTGCAGGGGCTGGTTCGGAGAGTCCTCCTCTTCCCTCTTGATCCCCTTGCCTATCATGTACTGATGGGAAGCTGGCTGCTGCTGATGATGGTGCTGCTCCTCGCCCAGACATATCTCCAGGCGGTCGGAGTCTGCGGATGTGCTCAAACTGTTCAAACTCTCTGCTGCCAGTCGAATCTCTATGGCGTCTGCGTCGTCAGAGGCCGATATGATTTGTAGTCTAGGATCTCGGCCCTTGGCTGCTGTGTATTCTGGACGGGCGCACATATAACCGAGTTGGGAGGGGTCAGAATATGGTGACTCTGGACTGTGGGCGGGGTCGGTGGAACGGATTCTCCCCGCAAGGAGTATGCCTGCTGCATCCTGGCTGATGTTGCGTGTATCTGTGACAAGAGATCCGTGTGTTCCTGCAGCTTGGCCTCCAAATAGCGCACCTTATCACGCAGAGCTCGGTTTTCGGCCTCCACAGTTGGATCCGCGACCAAAGAGCGCACCAATTCAAAGTCCTCGCTGGAGGTCTGAGACCAGGCATTCAGGTACATCGGCCTGGCGCGCCATTTGGACTCCTCGCGAGAATTGGCCTCCAGAATGCGTGGATATTGCTGTAGAGACAAGGGAATTAATTTAGATTGTGGCTTTTGCAGTCAACTCTGCGCCGCTAACTTACATTGTCCATGTCGTTTGCGCGATGGATCGGCGTCAACTGAGCTCAGGGCTGGTGGAAATTGGCGGCAGAATGCGAAAAGCGGCCTGCATGCGATCGCAGTAGGGGTGGTTTTCCTACGATCCGATCCGATCCGATCCCTATATTTCCTTGCGAAAGGGAGACAACAAGGGATTCCAGCCACACGGACGCTCCTTGCACGCACACACCGGCGGTCAAAATGCTTGCATGTGCAAGGGACGCAGTGTGTGTGTTTGGGTTCTGCTCTGCTCTCTCTATTGTTTTCCAGGTAAGCGATATCCTGCAATCCTGTTTCGGAGCAAGAACTAGGTATATTTTCCAACTAGCCCAGCTGTCCGACCCTCCGCTTTATTCCATTTCTATTTCCACCTTTTCGCACGGGTTTCGCGCGGGAACCAGAATATTGTGTTTGTGTGTGTGTGGCTGATGCTAGGCGCAGGGTAGTCGAGTGGCGCGAGGAATCATGAACTATCGGCAGCTGGCTCGTTTTTCGAAATAATTATTTTTAATAACATTTATTGCTAGAATGGTAAAAGAAATAAGTTAGGACAAGTATTCCGACTTGTAGAAACAATATATACTGAGTCCTTTTATTTTAGTGCAGTACGTAATGCGAAAACTCTGCGGTGGGGTGAACTATCGGTTGATGGCTGAAAATGGTTATTACCGCTTATACCAATGACTAGCTTTGTGAAGGTAAAATTTATTGGTAAATCTTTTTAAATTATTAGTTATCTTAAAAAGCACGATTCTTTTAGACTTTTTCAGAAAAATAAATTAAATATAGGATATGCTCATTTATTTGGCACACTAAATATTTTCCGATAAACTTTCCTAATAGTGTAATATGTATCTTAAGACAAAATAAGTGAAAACAAGATTTTTACAAGCACTAAAAGATACAATATTTTAAAAATTAGTCCCAACTATTATACTATAATATCAAATCTAGTACTTTGTTCTGTTTATTATTTATAATTTTAAAAAATTGTATAAATAATTATATTTTACTGTTAATTAAGGTTAATGTAGCACCCTAATATATATGTATATATATATTTACATATTTATATAGCAAGCCAAAATATTAATCCAGTGGGTAACTGTGCTTATTTATATAATATGCATATTTTTAAGAATCCGATATTTTAACATTTACGGGACAATTTGTCATGTTTTTATTGTTTATTTTTTTAAATCAGAACTTTATCCGATATCATTAATATTGAAAATTCGATGTTATACTGAAAATACAGCTGTATGTATTTTTAAATCACTTTCCTAATTCCAAGAACCCAAATAGACAATGGTTGTTTTTTTTAAATAACCGGTTTTCAGGACTCAAGGTAGTCCATTGGAATTTCATTATATTGGAATAGGTACAAATCCTTTTGGAATACACATATATATGCACTCTCTGATCGGAAAGACACCCTTAAATTCGAACGAGAATTTAATAATACAAGTCAGGTAAAAAATTTTGTTAAGTTGAGGAGGATTTTTTTTTTTTAATTTCTAATGTCAATATAAATATTTATTATAATACAAATTTCCTCAGAAAACTTGCCCTTATTGATTTTAGAGTTATACAAATATAAGAATTTAGGTAATCTGAGTTTAATAATTGCATAGTTTTTGTTTAAATAAGCCGTTATAACTTTCCACTGAGCCATGACAGTACAGTATTGCTTTGGCGACCTTGGCAACTCTAAATGAAGTACAGGTAGGATTGCCATCTGGTGCAGGGAATAACCGTTAATCCGAGGCCGTAAAAACATAATTCAGAAAAAATTTCAGCGAACAAATTATTCGCAAGATTACACTAGAAGTCCGTTGCAGCTGCACTTTTGAGCAGACGTAAACCTTTTCGTTACCTGGTGCTAAATCCGCGAAGACAATGGCCGCCGGATTCCGCCCGTTCCTTCGGGACTCTAACCTTACAAATAGCGAGGCACCGGGAATTAGCATGTCAGTCATCCACAGCTCGGAGCACCACACACACTCACCGCCAGCCTTATACTTTCATCCACAAACAGCCGTTGTGCCGTCCGTTCAGTTCTCGCATCCGTATCACCAGTATCTAAGCCAATTTGCTCCGAACTTTGTGCCGTACTATTACCGCCTGCTCTCGCGTCCTATTATGAAGCAGGAGGAGATGGATATCGAGAACTACATTAATCACGAAGTGGCCAACCAGCAGGCCACATTGCGACAGAGGAGCTCGAGGCCATTGGGACAGTTACAAGCACTGATGCAGCCTCCTCCAGTGCAACAGGTCCCTATGAAAGTTGCCCGAAGAGAAGCTCGCCGGAGTTCCCCTCCCAAACGCCGCATCATTAACGCCCAATTGGTGGCCATAGCAACACCATCTGGGGAGATTAAGAACATAGAACCGCAGATAGAACCTCTTCCGCCCGTTGATGATGCCTTCAAGCAGAAGGTGGCGAAAATTCAAAAGAGCCAGCATCACTATGAACAGCTCTTTGGACGACTCACCTCGATGTTGAAGACCCTCAACCAGCGCTACGATAATGATTACGAGGAGGTGCCTGCACCGCCGTCTAAGAGGCCCCGCAATATGTCCACTAGCTCCGCGGAGTCGCATCTCCCCGACAACGCCTCCGAAAACGAACGGGAGAATCTGGTCCAGTATCCACAGCGAGTACGAAAGGAGGATGGCAGTACTGTGTATATACTAGGACCGAATGGCACCGAAATTACCGCCCACCAGTATGGAGAGGTGTTCTTCACAAATGCTCCGGTGGCCACCAGATGTCTACTGTGCGTTGTCTTTAGCAGCGACGAGTTAGCCACGCACACTCTCACGGGAAAGCCATCGCCGGCATTCTACGGCCGGGAGAGACCTGCCAAGCTTCAATTGGACCAGCGCAAAGTGGACGACATTGTGGTCTGTGTTATGAACCGAACCGGAGGCAAGGAGCGTGTAATCAGAGCCACCATCACCACAAAGTGCGCGGATACGGCAAAGAAGTACAAGCGAAGGGCCAAAAAAGCACAGAAAATGGCAATAAAGGAGGAATGTTAGCGGAAAAAAGATATGATTCCAGTGCTTAACAATTAATTGGCTAGATTAAATCCAGCTTGTAACTTCATAAGGAATTCTTACTTAACGTCGTGCCAAGAAGGCGCCAAGGGCGATTGTAAATAACAATACATTATGTTTATAACAAGTAACTGTCGGCTAGTAATTATATAGCTTTGATTAAATAAATAACTGACAAACTACTGCGAGCTTGATTTTAATAATTCGTTTAAATTTCTACTGTATGGTAGTAGGGATGCATATCAAAAGGAAATGTAGGACATGATAAAATCAATAACGAACTAAGCATCGATAAGACATATCCTCTTTGTAACTGTTTTTACAGTCAAATTAACGAAATTTGATTTATTAGCACGTTAAAGAGCTCTCCTTTTTCGTAACCATTTGCCTTTCGAATTTAAAAAATAACTATTTGCTATCCCAACTCTACTGTTTCTTCGCCTTGGGGTCCCAGGCCTCCACTTTGTTAGGTGTTGTTGAATATGGGTAGTAGGCCTCTGTAAAAGAGAATGTTTGTACTTTTAGGATTCGATTAAGACTGGATTACGATTACCCTTAGTGCCGGATAGATTTTCGCTGTGATCCGCGATCCACTTGTGCTTGGGACGGCAACCATCGCGGATGGGAGGCAGATCGGTCTATACGAAAATAATAATAATAACGTTCGTTTCACTTGGTAAGGCTTTAGCTAATAGGGAACCGAACCTTGTAGTGCATCCAGCCGTACCACTCAGCGGGGATCTGGGACCCATCGTAGTCCATATTGACATGGGGGGTGAACTCGACCCAGCGATTGCGGCCGTAGAAGTAGTACGGATTCTCGAAGTACTTGTTGCCATACTTGTCGATGCCCACCAGGGTTCCGATCTTCAGATCATCGTTCCTGCGAAATAATGTTAATTTGCGGTTTGAGGCAGTCTTATATAAGATTCCGGGGCTTACCTATAGAGCTTCAGGTACGCCGCCTTCAGGCCTCCGGACTCGCGGATGATCTGGAACAGCTTGCTCACACGGTTGAGTCCCAGAAACTTTGCCATGCTGTCGAGGGAACCAAATGGTTTAACCAAATTTAAATGATTTTCGATATTCCTGGACTCACTTGAAACAAAAACAAAGTCAATCTGCAGTGTGACCGTTGATGGGGAAAATTACCATAGTATGATATTATAGAATTAAAATACCAACAAATAAGAAAATTAACTTTGGCACACCAAAGTTTGTATACCCTTGCAGTTTGCTCTTGTATTTTATGATCGAATTGTAAATCATAACTAAGCTTCAAATATTTGCATTATTAAATTGATATATATTGAAATTTTTATATGGCAATTTTTCGACATGTTAATGTTAAAAAAATCATAACTACGCCAAAAAGGCACTTATTTTAATTCGGAAAGCTTACTTATGATATTTGTAATCATGTTAAGAAATCTGAAAAACTAAATTTAAATATTTAAAAATTTTAAAAATTTTCAAATTTTTGACAAATTTGCCCATGTAACCTCTTATCAAATTTTCCAAATTTTTGAAAACTTTAATTTTATCCGGACATAGCTAGATCGAATCGGCTGTTGATGCTGATCAAGAATATATATGAGTTATAGGGTCGGAAATGGCTATTCACAGCGTAGCAAACTTTTAATTAAAATATAGTACCCTGCAAGTGTATAAAAATGACACTGTGAATATATTCGAGGTGTATGCATATTTATGTAGAATTTCGTAATATATCAGTGAATAGCTAAAACTTAATGCATTTATTAGTTTAATTATCAGCAATTCATTTGAAGGGGCATAACTTAATAATATATCTATAATAGTTATTTATTTATTTTAGTATTTTTAATGGATTGAGGTATTTTTTGTCGCCCGGTCACACTGTTGGACATCTGTTTGCCGGATTCATTCTTCTTCGTGATTCATATTTTTTTGGAAACAAGAAAAAGGCTTGAAAGGCGATCAAAAACATGGCCAAAAACACGTCAAGCAGCGCGTTCCGCAAGATCGATGTGGACCAGTACAACGAGGACAACTTCCGGGAGGATGACGGCGTAGATAGCGCCGCCGCGGGACCGGACGAGAGCGAGATTACGACGCTGCTGACGCAGGGAAAATCCGTGGAGGCGTTGCTCAGTGCCCTGCAGAATGCTCCACTGCGTTGCAAGAACCAGAATGTGAAGGTAGAGCACTGCATCCGAGCGGTTGATGTGTCATATTTGTAATAACTCTCCTGTCTTTTTTAGGACAACGCCCTGAACATAACCCTGCGGGTATTGCTGTCCATTAAATCGACACAGATCGACCAGGCCATTGATACCGTGGACCAGAACGACCTTATCGACGTGCTAATGAAGTACATATACCGAGGATTCGAAATCCCTTCGGAGGGTTCCAGCGGCCACCTGCTGCAGTGGCACGAGAAGGCGTTCGCCAAGGGAGGAGTGGGATGCATCGTACGAGTCCTGTCGGATACGAACCGTGCCTAGACGGGATAACCATTTACCAAAGGCTGTCATTGAGTCGTCGTCATCACCCCTACTCCCTTCCAACTGATTCACTTGCATCGCGGAGCATTTAACCAACTCTGGGCATAAAGCTTATCCCCTAGGAGGTGACTTGCGCCCTAAGCTGAGCCCCTCTGTTCTGTTCTTTTGCTGCAATACAAATGACAACGTTTTCCAAATTAGATTTTAACTGGTATCCAAGTATTAAAGTTTTTATTACAAAATATGAGAGGCGTAAATTAATGGGTTTTATATTGGACAAATACTGTGAAGTGATCAAGGCTGGAGGTGGTAAATAAACATTTCTATACCTTATCGATATTGACGAGAAGTCGAAATACAAATCAATATAGTTTGGTTAGAAAAAGATACAAGTTAAAAACATTTTCTGAATCTGAAAATTTCGATAAGATATTCAGGAATTTATACCATGTCAGGAATTTGCTTTATACCAACCAAGCTTCATTGATCTAATCACATAAAAACAAGTAAACAATATTTGAATCAACCTTTTCTGCTTTTATTTGACTATTCAATGTGTAATAAGTGCGTTGGATAACTTAAAAGGAAACCAGTCACGGTTTTCATTACACCATCCTAAAACTTTATAAAGCGATGATGACAAATGCTAGGCGAATCGAAATGCTGCAGTAGGAATACGCTAAAATGGTAGACCCCGAAATAAAGGGTCGCATGCAATTTGATGATGATATTTCAGTGCTTAGGAGGGGAAACATTTAACAAAGTAGGAGTTGAGTTCTCTTCAAACGCGTCTTCAATAAATAGTTGGTGTGTTTTCATGTTGCTTATATGTGGGGATTATTAAGTCGATACAGGCTGCTCCAAATCGCCAGATCTACCACATGTGAGTTTCACGGATCTCGCTAATAATGTGATTCGCCCGCGTCAGTGCCTAAAATAAATAAAATAAATAATTACAATTGTTAAAAGATAAATTAAGAAATATATTTAACAAATGTACCTTCAACATATCGGCCGCCTCTTTCCGGCGCACTGCAATGTGTTCGGACTCGTTGAGGAGCGTTTCGGCCCTATCCGACTTGTAGAGATGGGTAACCAGTTCACTCTGCAGGTTATCATTAACGTAGTTAACCAAGAAATGCATAATGGCCTTTGGTACCGAGTCTTGTATGGATTTGCGCACAATGTAGAAATACGATTTGATAAGGCGTTCTGAAAAATAGATTCAGTAATTGAATTATTAATTAAGAATTAAAATCCTACTAGTAAAACCCACCGATGACATCGCAATCCTTTTGCTCCTTATCGGTCAGCCTGCGTGGATTGTGATTAGCCGGCACATCGGGCAGCAAATTTACTGGCTTTACAGGACTAACAAGATTATTGTGAATCGGCGTGTTGCTGGCCGAGTTCTCAATGCTGTCCGGACGCGTCGGGGCCGGCGGTAAGATGTTTGATAGCCAGGTGCTGGCCATAGATGACGTCTCGCCAATGTGGTTCTATATCAGAAATGGGTCAAATTAGATGACTTGATAAATTTAAAATAGACTACCACTATCACCTGCTCATGGGCATCATTTTGTGGCTGCTGCTGTTGTGGCTGTTGCTGCTGGGAGGCTGCACTTTGCGACGAAACCTGTGGCGACATGTGGTTGCGCGGGGTGTTGCCGCGCCTCTGCAGATTCACCTGGGAGTAGGGATCGTTATCTGTCTTCAGCAGACTGGGCACCAGAGCCGCGTCCTTGTGGAAATCGGGATGCTTGGTGTTGATGTAGGCCAGCTCAATGGCCAGAATGTTCTCTACCATAACATTGGTATCCGGCAGACGACGGCGCAGCAACTGCGTGACAACATCTACAATCTTCTCATGAAGTTTGGGGAAACTGTAGGGAAATGTACTTCTTTAGAATACTTGTTGCTCTTTTAAGGTAGATCCACTTACCGCAACATCTCCTGCTGCACCTCATTGCCACAGTGCTGAACAATGCGCTGCATCTCCTCGTGTATTAGCTCAACGCAGCGCAGAGAGGGTTCCTCCAGCCGACGAATCTGGCGCTTCACAAGCAACTCAAACGAGACCTCTGGAACGAACAGTGCTGGTCGCGGACCCGTTGCATTCCGTATGGCCGTGAGTATGTCCATTTTGCTCAGCCCCGCCAGCGGGTGTATGGAGTCTAGGGTGCGGCCGAAGATCTCGTGAAAAATGTAGCATATGCGAGCGCCACCGCACAGCTCAGTGGTCTCAATATTCCGGGCCGTGCCCTCGATGGTCGAGCAGTAGGCACTGGCAAATTTCGTGATGATCTGCAGTAATGTTTGGCTTTTGTCGGAAACGTCCTCGCCGTAGGAGTTAAGCAACGATTGGAATTGCGTCGTCATGATATTGACGCGAGTCTGTAAACAGGAGAGAAACATATTTGCATATATAATCTTGCTTTGGTTCTTCGTAAAGAAATATAAAGTTTGAGCTTTTGACGCAAATTTCTAAACAAATTGATTGTATTTTCGACATAAACTCACCTTTAAATCAGGCAGACAGTCGCGAATGTGGTGCATCAGCAGACGATTAAGTGTCTTGGCCAGGTAGGGCGTGCCGTTGCGAGTCGCCAGCGTTGGGTACTTCCGCTGCAGGAAAGCTGCCTCGTCCTTCATCTGATCTTCGATGTGCTTCTGATCCATAATGTCCTTTTGGGAGCGATTCATAACACCGATAATGCCCAGTTTGACGGGAATGACCCGACCGCATAGAATATCGATAGCATCAGTGCCCGCGTCCATGAGATCTAGCTTGGTGACCACGGCCAAGGTGCGACGGCCATCGGGATCCACGTCCTTGGCCAGCTTTAGCGCCTCACTGGTGGCCATGTCCGTATTGGCGGCCGTCACAGCCAAAATGATCGAGTTGGGGTTCTCAATATACTTGAGCACCAAGTCTTTGATTTGCGCCTCAATGTCCTCCGGCTGATCGCCCACGGGCACCTTGGTGATACCCGGCAAATCCACCAACGTCAAGTTGACAACGTGTGTGGAGAATATCTTCAGGTTAATGGGTTCCGGGCAGATGCCCTTGTTGTTGCCGGCAGCACGCTCTGTTTCGTTCTCGATCTCGTTACGGATATCATCGAAGTCCGTAAAACACTTCTTGGAGTGCAGGAAGCGGCCCCACTCCTCAGCACTGGAAGTACCTAAAAAAATATGATTTACCCACAGACTTTTTTGCTTATATTTGTTATTGCTTACCATTTTCCGAGGAACGATGCTCGCGATCATCGAGCGGGCAGTAAATCAGCTGGAGAACCAATGGACGACGGGTAACAATTCCAGTTCCACGGGGCAGGAAGGAGCGTCCCACCACGCTTTCGATCACGGAACTCTTGCCAGAGCTCTGGAAGTATATTTTTGGTGGGAGTAAAACAGCATTAAATGGAGTTAGAACAGAGACTGATAAACGTCGATGACCCGATAAGGAGAGCTCCCAGAACGTGTGCAACAAGGAAGCACTTGGAATAACACAGATTAGCTATTGTTATCTGGTACAGTTAAGCATTCTTTAAGTGGAATATTATTATTTTTTTTTTAAATTTTAAATTGAGCTTGCAGATTTATACCCCTTATAAAACGAACTTAGGAAAGCATTCCAAATTAAAATTAATGAGATTTTGGCTTAGTTACAAGATTTGTTTTAACTTTGTATTGTGTATAAAAATATCGATTCGTTTAAATGTGGTTTTAGGTTAATAGTTTAAGCTTTATTATAAAACAACTTCCCAGCAATAACAAGTATTATTTAACCCTTTAACATAAAGTTTAACTTATAGAGGATCTTCTGTACTTGGTATCGCCGACTTTACTAACTTCACAATTCCGTCATATGGAATTTAATTCACAATCATGAATCAAAGTGCAATTAAAGCCGCGATCAAGGCACACACACATGTACACATGCACTCGCAAGTTTTTGTTTGGCCCGTGCGCGCGTGTGTGTGTGTGTGTGTACAGGAATGTGTCACAGCAGCTGTTCTTTTCGTCACTTTTTTTGTATAATACTTCCTACTATTGATTTTCAATGCAGCGGGCGGCCAACATTTGCCGAATATAATTATATAAACAAAAGGCGTGGGCTATTGCGAGGATTGTCACTGTAATAAATCGATTTCGAAAGAAAACATAACTGAAATGCCGGCAAGCGCGCATCTCCATTATATAATTTTGCACACCGCTGAAATTCGTCTAGAGTGTGAATTCGCAGATAAAGTTAATTATACTTGCATGTATGCAGGTTTTAAAACTCTCCTTTTGGTAATTCAATAGATTTCGTTTTGGGTGCGAAGGGAATTTCGCAAATTCGCTTACCTGGCTGCCGAGAACAACGATTTGTGGCAATTGTATGGAATCAGAGCCCACGGTGTTAAAGACGTCCTGTAACTTGTTAACAACTGGGATTAGGGCCTCCATGGTGCGTGCGGTGTGCTAGAGGTACTTCAGATCGCGTTTTACTCGATTTATTGTTTATTCCCTGCACATTGGCGAATTTTTATTTTATTGCTGTTTTTTTTTTTGTTGGCCGACTAGGGCTGGCAAAAACATCGGAGCACTAGGTTTTAAAAAAACTTATGTTATTTAACATTTTACATCACCATGCGTAGATAACAATTTTACACATTTACAGATACGTTGAGTAAAATTCTCGCACTTGGGGTAGAATTCTCATATGGGAAAAATAATTTTCATGTATAAAGTAACATTTCCGCTCTCATTCACAGAGGAGAGCGTAAGTTAAAAGAATTTTCTTTGTTGGCTGCTGGAGTCAGCATAACTTAACAGAATTCTCTCGCGTGGGAGAGAGACGGAAAGTAAAACATCAGAGCACTATCGATACAATCGAACTTTAAAAAAATTTCTGTTACTTAACATTTTACATCATACATTGTTCATATTCTTATGTAGGAAGTAAAATGCATAAACAGATCTGCTCTCATTCATTGAGGACGGCGTAAATTAACAGAATCGTGAGCGAACAGGAGAGACATCACTATCGACATTTAAGAAATTCTGATTTTAATTAGTCCTAGGCTTAAAAAAACGAATGTTTTCGTTAATTTAATTTCGTTTGGCATTTTGCTAGGTGACAAGTGCTGCACACCGAATTTAATCTCCCAAGCAGGGCTACCACATCTTTGGAATGGGGCAGCGGTAAGTGGCATATACATTATAGTTTTTTGTCATCACTAGATTTATAGCAGTTAAGCAGCTCTAGCAAAAAGCTTTCAACAACGACAAAATTTGTTTATTTCATACATATGTATATTTTAGAGAAAACCCTCAATGTATTTTATTATACTTCCTTTTACTTGTTTTGTAGTTTTATTAGCTCCCACATACCCAATTATTTTGAAATATGTACCATAAAGTTTTAGCCCTATCAGAGCCAGTGCTGCCATATTCTGTGGTAAAGTGGCCCAGCGCGCCAAAGTTTAAATTTAAAAAAAGTATCAGGCAATTGGTGTTTTTGTGTAATTGTTTAAAAAAATTAAAAAATTGGAAAAATATTTAAAAATATTTATTTTTTATTACTCTTAAAATATGCATTATTTAACTAAGTACTGGGATGTATCATATATATATTTCCGTTCTAAAAAATAGTAATTGGAATATTATTTTATGCTTAGCATGAAGGAATGAAAACTTAACAATTTAAAAGGCAACAATAGATTGCTCTCTTCCACTCATCTCAATAGTTAGCCTTTCTCCCTTTTATGGATTTATTTTTTGACTTTAACTAAAGACAAGCAAAATGTGCATATATAAATACATATATGTACATATGTATAAAGAGCAGAAAATGTCTAGATGGGCAGGAAGGGATAAGGATGCTGTGCCCATTGTGCAAACTTAATGATATGGGCCAAACTGTAGCCCCCAAAACTCGTATTGGCAGTCCACACACCACAAGGCATTGTCGGGAGCATCTCAATATATCCGTCCATGGTAATAGATAACAAGAATTCAGACTGGGCAAAGGATACCGAAGTTTACTATACTCTTAGATTTTATAATTAATTAAATTAATTTAATAAATTCACCAAACAATAACTATATTTAAAACATATATAAGTTATATTACAGAAATTCAAACAAAAGCATAAGGAACTAAGTTAAGCTGACTTGGATGCTCAGCAATCTGTGCTATCATTATATTATATTAAATAATCTAAAATTAAGAAAGTTTATGGAAACTGAACGACATAACATAATATTCAGTAACTGGAAAACTTGCTATAAGGGTATAAAACCCAAAAGCAACCAAGTGGTTGGCACAAACAAAATGCAAAGAATATAAGCGACTGGCCTCAAGTGCTCGGGATTTGCATGTGGCCTGGGGAACTCCTCAGGTTGCTACATGGATTGGATGGTCACATGTCCAGTCCCATTCCCAAGATTACCATACTCCATGCTTTGTGTGTGTGTGTGAGTGTGCGGATGCCGGGACTCATCTGTCGTTTTTATCGGTTTATATCAATGCTCGAGGATGCTCAGCGCCCGGTACACGGAGCATTCACAATTCGATAGTGGCCCAAATGGACCAGAATATTAGATGTATGGCACTCGCCCCACCCCTCTCCCCTTCACACATGTCTGCATCATTTGGCCCACTCGATGGCCATTCGCATTGTGGCCGGCATTCTTCGCCACATTGTTGGTAATTGAATAGAAAATCACAATGCAAATTGAAACGAATTATTTGATATCATTTTTAATTGCTCGCTTTACGATTTAATGGATTATGCTGGATTTGAATATCGATTGAACTGATGTCTTGTCTTCTTAAATTTATAATTCAATTCGAAGACTAAATGCAAGTTTTCGAATTGAATAAGAGTTTAAATTTCAATGTTTACCTTATAAATAAATATGGTTTCCCTATATTTATGAAATAAATTCCAAATAAAGCAGTTAAAATTATATATAATTTTAACACTTTGGTACATCTTTTGATCCCTTCAAATTTAGACTTAGAAATATAATTTATTCTTTCTCTTAGAAAACTTTGCTTAAATAGTTCAAAAAACCACTCAAACGAGTCTAAAACTTAAATTAAAGTTAAATTATTCAGCTGTGAATGGCGAGTAATCTAATTTTTTGTGCTTCATTATTATACATTTTGACTGGTGGTAAGTGGCAAGTTCTTTTGCATTTTCATAGATAAACTTTTGGCTTCCAATTAACGAATTTGGCCAGAAAGTTGCCGGAACACCTCTGTTGCTGTATGTATAAATATATTTCGAAATTTCCCTCATCAAATTGGCATTGTTGGACCGAGGAACTTTCGTATCTGTCCTGACGACAACTTGCCAAAATGTGCGCCATACAAAACTTCTTGGCCTGACAGTTATTGCGACAAAGGGGGGGTTGGGGGCGTTTTCTTGGCCCTCCCGGGGGGCGGAATATTAATTTGATAATTTTACGGTTGAATGCAAATTCGGTGTCAGAGTCCTTTGCTCTCTAATTGACTGACGCGAATATTTAAAATATGAATTTCAAATGAGGTTCAACAATTGTCTGCCACCGCTTATACATATATATTTTTTTCGCTCCTTTTGCTGGCTTCTGTTGGATTAATTATGAAACGATGACGACGGGGATGATGATGATGATGATGATGATGATGAAGATGGAGCTGGAGTTGGAACAGCTTTGCCCCGGTGGAGCATTAATCATGTGAAAGTAATTTTGCGCATTTGCATGCGTTGCAGAAAGCGATAATTTTCATCCATCATTTTCAAGTGTTTCCGCAGGATTATAGTGCAAGGAGCATCAACTTGACGATGCATTGGCTTGTCATATTCCACTCAGTGCACTGAGAAAAATCACCACAGAGTTAATAAAAAATATATTTTCAAAGGATTTTATATTCCTCGTGTAAGAACTACTTAAAGAACTACCCTATAACATCGTAACAATTTTAAAAATAACTACTCAACTATATATTGCTTTTTAATATTTTCTGAAATATAAATATGTATATTGTTTTAAGAGAATTGTTTAAAATATTCAAACTTTGGTATTCTTTAACTTACATATTTGCAAAGCCTTTTAAAAGTAATTTTCATTTATTATAGGGTTTATTATATTTTATTATTATGTTTAGATACAAATAGATAAATATTTAATATTTAGATTACCTTACCTCATGGTCATTATTATTTTATTTGCACTTTGGCATCATCAATTGTTATTTTTCCTCCCAGTGCATGTGTGTGGGGAATCCCCTCATTATCCAGCGTCGTGTCGTCGTCAATTATTCCTGTTCTACAGGCTGCCTGGTAGAAGAACTTTGCATTTAGTTGATGAGCTCCTCCAGACCCATCCATTCCCCCCATTTTTGAGGCACTCCTTCTTGGTCCTTTTGTGCCTGGATGCTTTCAGCTTTCATCTTTCAGCTGGCTGCCAGTTGATCAATGGCTATGCCAGTTTTCCATGGTGTTTCTTGCAATTACGTATTTATATTGCGTATACGCCATGTGGGGAAGACATTCTGTGCAGGAAGCCACCCGAATGTTCTTGGCACCACGATAGCAATAATGAACTTTGATTTTTCCCCTTCGCAGCCTTTCCGGATGGGGAAAATGTAAAGGGATGAGCATTTTCGACATAATTGCTGATTGGGGAATGTCAGTACAAAAAGTTATTTAAGTTGGCATATTGATTGTCTCAAGTAAAATGTATAAAATTTAAATTGGTGGATTTTTTTGTAGCTTTAACCCATTAGAAGGTCATAAAATATCTCTACTTTGTGGCCATTAGGGGGTCTATCAAAGGGGCTAAATTATGAAGGCCATGTGTTCACCAAGGATCTTGGTGAGAAGATGTGGAACCATTTAGCAGATGTTTCCGCTTTTGGCACACAACTCTGTGGCCATTAATCTGCCTGAGAATTCCGCAGCCAGATGCCAGCGAAAAGTGCGAAAGTGTTGCAACACATGTTTCCTTTAATTTCATGTTTTATTTCTTGGCAAAGCCCTTTGCATGTTTAATTGGATTTTCATATAAGCGGAATTAGAACGATCCGGGTGAGAATTGGAGAGTTATATTTACATATTCAAGTTGTGGCATCTTTGTAGTAAAGACTTTGAGCTAACACTGTGACAAAAAATGTTTTATAAAGAAATACTAGATAGAAGAAATAAAGATTAAAACAAATAATGTGTATGTATTTGGAACTCAGTTTTCTATGTTCAAAATATTTAATGAATTTTAGTAATATATTTAAATAAACATTCTTTATAACAAAGAAAGTTATTTTGTTAGTAAAATAAGTTTTAAATATATTTTCCTTTTCCTATTTTCCTATTTTCCAATATTTAGGATGATTTTTAAACCTTATTCGTGAGTAATTTCTTCAAGTGCCGCTGCCTGGCGACAACAAGCAAGTGTAAATTTCACTTGAACTGATAATTTCACTCAATTTGTGTGCGCTGATGAGCAAAGTTTTCCCATTTGCATAAGACTACGTGTGCCCGCCCCTTCCAGCACGCGGCTTTTCCAACACCCCCAAAGAAGGACTCTTCCTTAGTCCTGT